TAAATAAATAAATTTTAAAAACTGGAAATAATAATTCTAATAAGAAAACATTTGAACCATTGGTTTCCTTTGCTTTTAGATTAAACACTTACTTGCATCCATCTTTAAGATGGATGCTTTACTCTTTTTGAACCGCATATGTAGAAATGTGGTTCAGCCCACATGAAACAATTTTCCTTGAAGTTTATTTCAAGGGATTGTATACTATGAATGAATTTACCTGTGATACAAGGTGATTACAATTCCTTACAACCATTTGATATGAAGTTTGATAGCTTGGATGTGTCACAAAGTTCATGAAAAAGTCTTTTGAAGTTTGAGCTTGGTCAATGGAATAATTGTAACCATGCAATTTCACATCTAATGGTAAAAGTTAATGTGAAGACCTTGTATCAAAGGTAAATGGTCTCATTCTATTATTTCCCTTATTTCAAAGAGGTTTGTGGTTGTCGCGGATTATGTACCAAGCAACCCAATTGCATTGGAGAGACAATCCTCAATTAGTTGAAAAAAACGTTGAAAAAAACTCTGATGATGATGATTTAAAATAAAAGAATCTTTGTATCAAGTCTTAGTCCTACTTATTCCCTCTTAATTAAGTTCAACAAAAATACCATTCAACACAACCCATGCCCCTCTCTCTCACACACATTGCCCAACACTTAAAACGTACATAGGAAACTGATAATGTGTATGAATTTAGCGGTAATCGTAACCTCTCTGTATATTCCTAATAAAACTAAAGGGTTGGACTGGCGGTGAAGTGGGGAGTCTCGGTCTTTTGACTTTTGGAGAGCTATTCAAATAACACTGAAGAGACCCATATATGGGGTAACATTTGCTTCACTGGTCTCTTGGTTTCTCTGGCTTGCCCTTGAACCTTCACAACCAGCAATTAGCTTGAATCATGAGGACAAATACGTCTGCAAAGTTTCCATAGGAGACTGAAAAAGATATTTGATGCTAAGAGATACATAATTATATTCCCTTCCCTTGATTTGGCGGTCAATTTTAACAATAACCGTGGGAATTTAAATAGATGTCTGGAGTGTATATATTCATGTGCCCCGCACACCCCATCAAGGACTTGGGTCTGGTTTCATGAGTAGGAACCTGATGTCTGGATCTAGGTCGACCAGTCCCAAATATAATCTGATAAAGGCAGCAGTGAATCTTTAATCTGTTTCCCATTTTGGCAATCTTTTTGGTCCTTCGCTTAATGAATTCGCATGTTGATGCTATACATCACCCTATGGCAACAAGATTGATAATATAACATGGTCAGTAAATTTTTTTAGACCATGGTTAGAATCCAGTTTCATTCTTGATCATTCATTTTCACTTAAAGCTCGCAAGCATTTCTTTCACTACTCTAGTTGTTCCTTCTTTGTCCCCTCTTGAACAAAGTGATGAGATGATGGCATAGTAGGTATCAAAATTAGCTATTTTATCATCCTCATGCAATCTCGGCCTTGGAGTTTCTAACCCAAAGTTCATGTATTCCAAGCCTGAATCGAACTCCATCAGATGATGGGTAGCTCCAGTTCCAAAATCGAACTTCTCGTTTTCCCTTCTCGAAGTTTCCTTCTTCCACAGTTCATTAAGCTTTGGGTTCATCACCTCCCTGTTTCCATTACATCTCTTGGAGGCTAAAATCATGGCTTCAATTTCAAGTAGAAGCTCAGTGGCTTCCTGGATGTTGCCCTCTCTGCATAAAAAGCTCAAATAGCTCGAAAGATAATCAGAATCAATCATAACATCAGCTTTAACACTATCCATGACTGGCTTATTGTTGAGCATATCCATGACAATGCTCCTTGATTCCTCCTTCCTCCCTTTAACAAAGAGACCCTTTATAAGGCTCACATAACCCAAGGAGTCAGGTAAAATCCCCCTCCCCTTAAACTCATAGAAACACCCCAATGCACCTTCCATATCACATTTCAAATAAAAGCCTTTGATCAGTGCAGAAACCGTCACACCGTCTGGTACTATGCATTTGATCTCCATATCACGAACCAACTTCAAGGACTCTTCCATCATGCCTATTCTGCAATACCCATGTATCAATAAGTTGTAAACAATAGTATTCGGTGAAATTTCCTTTTCAATCATACTTTTGAACAGCTGATGGGCATCTTGCAACAACCCTTCTCTAGAAAGAGAGCGAATCAGGATTGAGTAAGTAATGATAGTGGGATGCACACCCTCTTTCGCCAAAGAATCAAAGAGCCTAAAAGCTTGCACCAGACAGCCTTCTTGACATAGCCCATTTATCACCGAGTTATAAGTATATATATTTGGAGAGATCCCCTTGTTTTTCAAGCTGGCACAGAGATCTAGAGCCCTCTCTAAAGATCCTTGCTTGCAAAGGGCATCAATTAAGATAGAATAGGCAACAACATCCAGTAAAAGGCCCCTCTCTTCAGCTTTTGTGACAAGAGCATGCGCTTCTTCCACTCTTCCTTCTTTTGTCAGTGCATTCAAGAGTACTGTAGAAAGAGCCAATTTCAGACCATTGCTTGTCATTACATCATAGAGCTGAATAGCTCTTCTCACATCCTTCTTAGACAGATAAATTATGAGTAGCCTGTATATTTTAGGCTCAAGAATGCCATACTCTTTGATGAACCTGCTCAAAAATAACCTCACCTTCCCGTTCTTTCCCCTATTGAGAAGACCTTTAGTTATGGCATAGTAGCTCTTGTTGGATACAACCAAGCCTTTCCTCATCATTATTTCAATCACCTCCAATGCCTCTTTAAAAAGCTGCTGCTTACAGAACCAACAGATCACACGATTATACATTAAGGCTTCTAACCCAATATCTAACTCCTCTAAATGTCCAAGAAAATCCAAAACTTCTTCTACTTTGCCTTCCTTTAACAATGCCTTAATCAAAACCTTGTAAGTAATGGCATCAGGAACCAAACCTCTGTCTAAAGCTTCATTGAAGATTTCAGCTGCCATCATTACCATTCCCTCTCTACATAGCCCCCCTATAATACAGTTATAGTTAACAATATTCAGCGCTAAACCTGACTGTCTATATGCATCAAATATCTTAAGCGCATCAGTTATTTTTCCTACATTACAACAACCATGAATCATAATACAATAAGTAATGGAGTTTGGAACAAGATCCATTTCAGATAACAGCCTAAATAATTTAAAAGCTTCATCAAAGCTCCCAGCCATTGAAAGAGCCTTGATTAGTGCATTACAAGTAACCAGATCAGGTGAGACACCAGCTTCTTCCATTCTCCTCCTCACTCCCAATACACCCAACATATCCCTTTTCTTCCCATACCCATGGATAAGGGTACTACATGTACAATTATCCCCAAAAAAACCTCCTGAAATCTCAAAAGCATCAGAGGTTCTACCTCTAATGCATAGAGCATTAATCAAAACATTGTAAGTGATAACTGTTACATCAATTCCCTTAATTTCCATCTCCTCCAGCAAGCAAAAAACTCTTTGCCAATCATTGTTTCTGCATAAACCATCTATCAAAGCTGCATAAGTAATCTCATCTCCTTGCAAACCCAATTCCTCGAGCTTATGAAAAAATTGAATTGCAACTTCTAACATGCCTTTCTTGCAAAGACTATCAATAATTGATGTAAAAGACACCATATTTGGCCTAATGCCATTGTTCCACATGTCATGTACAAAGCCCGAGGCTTTTTCCACATTCCCTTCCTTACAAAAACCATCAATTAAAACAGCATAGCTGATCAAATCGGGCTTAAACCCTAATTCTACCATTTCTTTATGTTTTCGAAAAGCCCCCATTAGATCGCCATCTTGAAAAAGCCCAGATATCCAAATGGTATAAATAACAGAATCTGCAATCAAACCTTCTCTCTCCATTCTCAAAACCAATTCCCCAACTTCTCCGACTCTGTTTTCTTTACAAAGCAATTCCATAGCCCGGGCATAAGTTGAAGCATTCAGGTTAAAGCCTTTTCCCAACACCTCCTCAAAAAACCCCAACCCTGAATTGAATTTTTTCACCGTAAAATAACCATCCAAAACTGCGTTAATTACCAAACTATCAACAATTACACCATTTTTCACCATTAATTCAAATACTTGACGGGCCTCATCGATTCTATGCTGATAAATTAAACAGACAATCAAGAAATAAAACCCAAGAGAACTGGGAAGAATACCTCTCTGAATCATGTGATCCTTAATAAAAATCCAAGCTTTTTCAGGATCATCACCTCTACATAAGCCTAAAAAGAGCATTTTCTGATAAATTTCACCAATGCAGGAAAACCCATTGAGTTGGGTCAAGAAATTCTCTGCTTCTTTGAGCCTGCCCATTTTGAGAAGGCCCCAAAAGAGCATTTTATGTGTATCAGAATCAGAGGTGATACTGTTAGCACAAATCTGGTCGTAGATGTGCAGAAGAAGTTTATAATGGTGGGTTTTTGAGGCATTTTTCAGGAGTTTATTAAAGGATTTTGCAGTGGGATTGATACCAATTTTGATTAGGTTCTGAGGAATTAGGGTTTTGGGTTTGGACTTTTCAGTGGAGAAATTGAGTGAAAATTTTGTTTTTGAGGGGTTAAGATATCTAGTCCTTGAAAAAATGGCACCCATTAGACAACATGGTTTGCATTGTACCACTATGTTTATAGGCTTCTTTTGTGGTGGACTGAAAATTTACATTTGTATCGAATTATCAAAGGAAAAAGTTTATAGAAGGTTGCCACCTTAAAATGTAGTATTACCGTGCACCTGCAAAATCCATCATGTTTTGATGTTGGAAAATCTTCTAATTGACATCTCAACATCGGGATGTATCAATATGAAAATAAAAAAAGATTTTAGGTCTTAAAAATAGTGTATTTTGTAGCATATTGTTTGGACTGTCTATTTTGAAGTTTTTTATATTTATGAATCTACTTGTTTTGAAACATTTTTAAAATTTAAAATGTTATAATTAGATATCAAAATACATTGTCAAACCATCCTAAGAATTTGTAACACCAAAATTTTATTTGTGATAAAATTCGGAGGCACCCCTTAATTTGAATGTTTAAGGTTGCAACTTTATGCAAACCACATCTAGTATCAAATTTATCACACACACAGATTGAAGGAGTATAGATAATTTAAAAACTTGAAAATAAGTGGTATGGATAATTTGTTATTAATATGCATTATTTTTAAAACTTAAAATTAACTTCTTTTGTATTTATAAAATTTTGAGGTTGAGATGATAAATTGGAAGGTTTCCTTGTATCCGAATAACTTTAATTTTTTAGATCCAAAATCCATATGTAAGATGGATTTTTGAGAGAGAGCTCATATAAATAGATGAGTCTCCTGACTCATGAAACCTTATTCTTTATATACATACACGGTTTCGCACCAAAAACTTATGCAAAAGGTTGAGGTCGGGTCTAGGGCATGTTGACACAGGCCTAACTAGGAAAAGGCCCGGCTCACTAAAAATATTACACAGACATATCGTTGCCCTTAAACTATTAAATAAAGATATACCTTGAAATCCTGTCAGAAGATGCAGTTTCAGTGCCCCAAAAACCTACACGTAAATATTTTTTTAAAAAGAATTATAGGGAAAATTATGTATATGTCCCTAGACAATACTTTTTTTGGCATGTTCCTCTATTACTTTTTAAACTACTCAAAACTACTCAACTAACCCAATTGCTACATTTATTTTTGTAGCCACCTAAAAAGGAGTAAATAGCTTTGCTTTAGTCGTGGGAGCAAAGGCACACAGGGGGATAGG